CCCACTGTCACACTGCCCCTGTGACATCCCCATTGTCACCCCGCCCGTGACACTCCCATTGTCACCCCTGTGACACCCCCATTGTCACCCCCCCGTGACACCCCCACTGTCACCCGTGACACCCCCACTGTCACACTGCCCCTGTGACACACCCATTGTCACCCCCATTGTCTGCAGGGGGGTCAAGAGCTCCTCACTGACCCGGGGGTTCCCCTGGGGACACAGAGTGTCACCAACTGTCACCTCCCCCTGTCACTGCCCCCCCCCTCGGTGACATCCACGAGGACCACCCAAATCCCGGGTGTGGCAGAGGGGGGTGTGTGGGGGGTGTCAGGTGGGGACACGGGGACACCTGCTGTCCCTGCAGGGGACACTTTGGGGACATGGGGACACACCTGCTGCAGGGGACACTGGGGACATTGGGGACATTGATGTCACTCTGGGGACACTGGGGACACACCTGCTGTCCCTGCAGCTCGCAGATGGTGCTCTGTGCTCTCTGCAGGTTCTCAGTGGCGCTGCTGCAGGGGACACTTTGGTGACACTGGGGACACTTTGGGGACATTGGTGACACTCTGGGGACATTGATGTCACTCTGGGGACACTCCTGCTGTCCCTGCAGGGGACACTTTGGGGACATTGGGGACACACCTGCTGCAGGGGACACTGGGGACATTGGGGACACTTTGGTGACATTGGTGACCCTTTGGGGTCACTGGGGACACACCTGCTGTCCCTGCAGCTCGTAGAAGGTGCTCTGTGCTCTCTGCAGATTCTCAGTGGCGCTGCTGCAGGGGACACTTTGGTGACACTGGGGACACTTTGGGGACATTGGTGACACTCTGGGGACATTGATGTCACTCTGGGGACACTCTGGGGACACACCTGCTGTCCCTGCAGCTCGCGGATGGTGCTCTGTGCTCTCTGCAGGTTCTCGGTGGCGCTGCTGCAGGGGACACTTTGGTGACACTGGGGACACTTTGAGCACACTGGGGGCCCTGGGGACACTTTGGGGACATTGGTGACACTCTGGTGACATTGGTGACACACCTGCTGTCCCTGCAGCTCGCGGATGGTGCTCTGTGCTCTCTGCAGGTTCTCGGTGGCGCTGCTGCAGCGCTGCCGCACCACGGCCAGCTCCCGCTTGATGATGTAATTCTCCTCCGCCTCCTGCGCCCGCGTCACCTGGCCCTGGGGACACCGCGGGGACAGTCGGGCACGGCGGGGGACAGGCGACACCCGCCCGTGGGGCACGGGAACAGTGCCAGCCCGCGTCACCTGGCCCTGGGGACACCGCGGGGACAGTCGGGCACGGCGGGGGACAGGTGACACCCGCCCGGGGGGCACGGGGACAGTGCCAGCCCGGCTCACAAGTGACACTGGGGACAGGAGCCACCTGCCCTGGGGGCATGGGGACACTGCCAGCCCGGCACACAGTGACACTGGGGACAGCTGGGGACACCGCGGGGACAGTCGGGCACGGCGGGGGACAGGTTACACCCACCTGTGGGGCACGGGGACAGTGCCAGCCCGGCTCACAGTGACACTGGGGACAGCTGGGGACACCGCGGGGACAGTCGGGCACGGCAGGGGACAGGCGATACCCGCCCGGGGGGCACGGGGACAGTGCCAGCCCGGCTCACAAGTGACACTGGGGACAGGAGCCACCCGCCCAGGGAGCATGGGGACAGTGCTAGCCCGGCCCAGGGTGACACTGGGGACAGCTGGGGACAGCCGGGCACGGCGGGGGACAGGAGCCACCCCCCCGGGGGTCACGGGGGCAGTGCCAGCCCGGCTCAGGGTGACACTGGGGACAGCTGGGGACAGGAGGCATCCGCCCGGGGGGCACGGGGACAGTGCCAGTTCGGCACACAGTGACACTGGGGACAGCTGGGGACACCGCGGGGACAGTCGGGCACGGCGGGGGACAGGAGCCACCCCCCCGGGGGTCACGGGGACAGTGCCAGTTCGGCACACAGTGACACTGGGGACAGGAGCCACCCCCCCGGGGGACACGGGGACAGTGCCAGTTCGGCACACAGTGACACTGGGGACAGGAGCCACCCAACCAGGGGATGGTGACTCGGTGCAAGCCCGGCCTGGGGTGACACTGGGAGGGGGGTGGTGGCAGTGGGGGGGACAAGGGGGTGCCACCACAGAGGGTGACAGTGGGGACAAGCTGGTGACACATGGAGGGTGCCACCAACCCCACAAGAGGTGACACAGGGGACAAAGAGGTGCCACCAGCCCCCGGTGACATCTCCAGACCTAAGGGAGGTGACGCCAACCCCATGGGGGATGACACTGGGGGCAAGGAGGTGACACCAGTCACAGGGGATGTCCCCAGCCCTACAGGAGGTGACACTGGGGACAAGGAGGTGACACCAGTCACAGGTAATGTTCCCAGCCCTACAGGAGGTGACACTGGGGACAAGGAGGTGACACCAGTCACAGGGGATGTCCCCAGCCCTACAGGAGGTGACACTGGGGACAAGGAGGTGCCACCAACCCCATGGGAGGTGACACTGGGGACACAGAGATGCCATCAGCTGTGGGAGTGACACTGGGGACAAAGAGGTGCCACTCCCCTGGGAGGTGACATCTGGGGACAAGGAGGTGCCACCAGCTCCAGGCGATATCCCCACTCCCCCGGGAGGTGACATTTGGGGACAAGGAGGTGCCACTCCCCTGGGAGGTGACATTTGGGGACAAGGAGGTGCCACGATATCCCCACTCCCCCGGGAGGTGACATTTGGGGACAAGGAGGTGCCACTCCCCTGGGAGGTGACATTTGGGGACAAGGAGGTGCCACGATATCCCCACTCCCCCGGGAGGTGACATTTGGGGACAAGGAGGTGCCACCCTCCCCAGGGACACCTCCTGCCATCCCTCCCCCCTTCCCTCCCCTCCCCGCCCCCAGGTCCCCAAATTCTGCCCAGACTCACCAAACCGCGGCTTTTTTGCCCCCCTGTCCCCCTCCCCCAATCCCAATCCCAATCCCAATCCAAATCCCCCCCATCCCAATCCCAATCCCAATCCCAATCCCCTCAATCCCAATCCCGATCCCAATCCCAAT